AGGCTGCTAATCAAAGGTGATACAGCTCAGTGCTGAGACCCTCTGGCACATCCATGGGCAAGGGGCAAGGCTCTCAAGGGCTCAGTAACACGATGAGATGCCCCGCAAGCTTAGATGCCCCACATGATTTCAAATATACTAAGGGACAGAAGTGGCTAGAGCAATACTAGCAGTGGTTTCCCTAAAATAGATCTGAGGATTCATTCATTTGTAGCTCTGCGAGGAGGCTCTCAGACAGCCCCAAATCATCCCCCACCACACCTCCTGGACAACTATGCTCCACATCAAAATGAAGGTAATAGTCTAGACCTCCACTGACACCAGACCAGGTACCAGCAGCCAGGATGAGAATGGAGAGGGTGTTAAGCAGAGTGTGACATAATCTGCTGCAATTAGGAAAATGGAATAAAAGCAGCAAGACTGGATCAGAAAAGACTAGTTAGAAGACTTCTGTAATAATCCACAGAGACTATTATGACCTTAACTAGGGCAGTGGAAATGGGGATGGAAAGAAGGCAACGACTCTGAGAAAGCTCTGGGAGGAAGACTCAACAGGAATTGGCAATTAATTGGTTATGGCTAGAAAGCAGAATCAAGGATGATTCTCAGGTTTCCGACAGAGCTACCGAGTAGATGACCCCAGTCGTTATCTGAGGGAATGCTGGAGGTCTAGGGTTGAGAGAAGGATAACCCTTGAGCTTTAAGGGGCCTATGGGCATCTACATGGGGATAGAGAATAGGGAGCTGGATATAAAGGCTTGGAGTTCAGATGGCAGATGGAGCAGTGTCTTTTCTCCGGTGGGATCTCTGCTGCCATGTCAGTTTCCATTTCTCAGTTGCAGAAAAAGATTAGAAGACATCAGCACACAGAGGATAGTGGAAGCTATGGCAAAAGATGAGATCACTCTGGTAAGTGTGCGTGTGCAGAATAAAAAGAAAAGACAGTTAAGGACAGAGATCAAAAAAACACAAATATTTAACAAACACAAAATTTAACAAAAAAGGAAGAAGCATCTCTAAGACACTGTGAAGGTAAAGCTAGAGGAAAAGGAGACATAGAAAAGTAAAAACAAAGAGCATTTCAAGAAGGATGATATGGCCAACTTTGTCAAATGAGGGCAAGGAGTCCCAGCATTTCATCTATATTCTACACATCCACCCCCCCCTCCACTGCCCACACACACACACAGGATAGTCACCACCCCACAGTTCTCTCCCAGGTGTGTAGTTACATCACTATGGGACTTCACTCCAGGTGACTAGACACCAATAGTCTTGGCCATTTGACTTGCAGTCCTGCGGGCACCCTCAGCAGTCCCCACTGAGTGCCTGTCTCCCAAATAAGACTGGGTACAGTAATCTGAGCAAGTATCTTTTGACCTCCAGCCTTCCTAAAACTGAAAGTCTTCCAGGTCCACATCTGCAAAGCACCAACAGAGGGGTGTAGTAAGCACACTTCAGGAGGAAGACAGCCCAGCATTTACATATTCAATCTCCAGTGGAACGGAAACAGCATTCAGAGCTGAGCTGAGCTAGGAGAGGGCCCTCGCCACAGACTCTGAGCTGGCCCTAGACCCTGCCTCATCAGAGCAGAGCTGATTATCCTCATCCTCTCCAAAGGTCCCCATCCCAGGCTGCACTGAGGGCCAGGCCTCCCCTCATGTCAGCTCTTCCCTACACACCTCATACCCATCCTTACCCCTAGCTTTCTGTCTTCCTGATCTGCTCCTCTCCTCAGACCCACAGGTCACTGGAAAAGACCCTGGTCGCGCTTCTTGGCCACTCTGTGCTGTTCAGTTGGTGAACCCAGATATTCAAGCTACAGACTGAAATCTGAGCTCCTCAAGGGTGGCACCTGCGCAGGCGTCACTCCTCACTCTGCATCAGCCCTACCCTATCATCGTGTCAAAAATGGAACCCCTTTACAGAAACATTTCTACCTGGGTAAGGAGAGAAGATAAAAAAAACTGGTGAAAGAAAACTAAACCCCATGAGGAGCTTCAAGAAACACCAGGTAAGTTAAAGCAAAAGCAGGTCAGGTAGGGAAGGCAAGATGACCAAGGGCCAATTCCAGAACAAGTGTTGTATCTTAAACATGTTTAGAAAGAAAATTAAATCCATACTTACTAAATTAAAACCCACCTAAGCAGGACCTGTGACTATAGAATCAAAGCCCACGTAACCCTCGAGTATCAATTCATCCAGTTTTGATAAAAGATGGACCCAAAATGACTTGTCAGGTTGGGAGCAGATTTCTTTTCTCCAGCAGGAATTCTGCTGCCACTTCAGTTCCCGTTTCACAGTGCGTCACTAATCAGGCCCTTTCCAACAAAAGTGATGGGAAGCTGGTTGGGAGAGAGAGGAAGGACAGCAATAAGGAGCCACGGCTCTGGGAAACCAGAGTGGGAAAGGAAAATACTTGCTGAATTCCTTAGACTTAGTTAAATCTCAAAATGGATGTCAAAATAAAAAGTAAGCCACATACTAACAAGTTGTGGGTGTCAGTTTAACACCACCCTTGTCAGGCTCATCATCAGCCTTTACCGGGCACATAAAAAGGTGACGGCTTTGATGAGAGCCATCTGACGAGAGGTTCCAGGAACACCGATAAGCTGTGCGCTGTCACGCAGCACCACTTAGGTTTCCTCTCTGGCTGTTTTTATTTTGTTACACATTTAATTAAGAGCCTTCCCAGCAGTTATGCAGAGTCCTGCTTCTAAAAGGCAGCCTCAGAGCTCCCCTTCCCCCAGCCTCTGCCACCTGACATCTGCTTCCTCCTGCACACCCTTTCAGAGCTTCACTGGCTTTCCCAATCCAAACGCAAACCAACGTCCAAAAACTACCCAACCCCATTTGTTATTTTTGGAAGCTATGTGGTCTTGGAATTCAATTCTGTGTAGCTGTGAGTCTTTACCAATTTGAGCCTCAGTTTTTAATTTTGTTTTGTTTTTTCCAGCTATAACGTCCTACCAGTGAAGACAGAGGACTGAATGACATATGGTACGTGCTCATTTAAAATCTGGTTTCCTTTCACATATGCTTGAATTCAACAACCCTATCCCTCCTTTTGATTCCACTTTGATTACATCATTTCTTGTGAAGATATAGGGCAGCCTCCTGAGTCACCAAAATCTGCCAGGGCCCACCATGCCAACAGCTGAACTGGCGTTGCAGGCCAGAGCAGGCCAGACTGCCAAGCTCAGGAGAATCAGCCCCAGAGTCGTCAGCCTCATGCCCAGGAAAATTTTCTTATGCACATACAGGATGGGGCAAAAGTAGGTTAACAGTTGTTCATCTGAAAAATAATACAATAATTCATAAGTAATACAAGAATAAACTCCGTTTCATGTACTCACAACTATAAGCCTATTTTTTTGCCCCACCTGGTGTATATATGTACATGCCCGTCACAGTTAACACAAAAGATTCTGAAATGCGAGTGTTTGTTACATGAACACACCAAAGACAAACAACCACTAGAAGAGTGGGAGTCCTGGGAGGCTATTTGGAGAAACCAGGCCTCTGGAATGGACCACACAGGCCTCTGGGTATCAGCCTATTCCCTGCTCCACCCCAAACACCTCCTCCTATCCCGCCGAGCTCCACCTAAATCTTTTCTCTGTTTCAAGTGCTCAAAGCTGACCAGGAGACTATAAACAAGAACAACAGCCTTCCTCCTCCTCCTCACTTTCTACATGGAACCCTCCTCTGATTCCTATCAGCCCAGCCTATATAATCTCCCTGACAAATGAGTGTCATCTGGGAGCAGAGAGATCCCCTGGAGCTCTGGGAGCTGTGTGTGCAGACCTGGTGGTGTGCAGCAAGTGTGTGCACACAACCTAAGGGATATGGGAGATGAGGTGTGTAGGTGTTTATGTGACCTGGGCTTGTTCTCCCTTCTATCTCACCTAGAGAGCTGGTGTCCAATTGCAGGCCTGATACCCATCTGGCTGGGTGCATAACTTTGCTTCAATGCCCAGTATCCGAAAGACAAAGACAAAAAAAAAAAAAAAAGGCCGTGATGAGAAGATAGTAATGCCTGATTTGGTAGGAAATATCGCTCCAGAACCACTACTCTCAGCTCCCCGCTGATACCCTATCCCATGCTCAAAAGTGCAGGTGTGCATGCGCGTACACACACACACACAGAATGCTTGCTGCCGCCTTCAGTCACAAAGAACACAGAGTTATCGATTCTATCAATCCTCAGCAAACAATGCCCCCACCACTTCCACCCCACTTTGGTTCCCTGGGGACTGTCTGAAGTCAGGTATCCATGAGATAGACAAGAGGCAAAAGTGTCAGCCTAGCAAAGTAACCAGTTTTGTCTTCCAGGATCAGGAGACAAAGGAGAGAAAGCAATGGGGACAAAGGAGAAGAGAAGAGGCTGTGACTTAGGCAACTTCCTAGAAAAAGCTTTCTCTCATCCCACCCGTAGGCTCTCAGTTGTATCATCAGGGCCTTGTAGCCCAGATAAGAGGATAGCACAGTATAATGGTTGGGAGAAAGGACCCTAGAGGCAGGTTGCCTGGGTTTGAATCCTAGCTCCGTATATTCTTGGGCAAGTTACTTAACCTCTTTGTACCCTAATCTTCTCATCTATAAAAACAGAAATAGTAGGAGTACCTACGGTTATAAAATACACTTAGACTAATAAACACTATGCATCTGGTTAAAAAATATAGACCCTCCTTTAACTCTTTCCTTCCAGGGCACTGACATGTAGCCCTGCAACTGAAGGGCTATCTTAAGCAGTGAGACCTGGCAATGGCACGAAGGCCCCAATAACAGCAGTCCCAGTAGAGTCCTTGATCTAGCCCTCCCTGCTCCAGAGGCAGAAGGCAGGGCTCCCAGCCCTCTTCTTCTGCTGGCAGCCCCCCAAACCCAGGGACTCCCTGACCTAGCTGCCCTGTTGGCTTAGGCATTTAAGTCTGTGAAAGGCAAGAACTGGTCCCACAGGTTCCAAGCCCTGCTAGCAAAGCAGCCCTTCTCATACTCACATGACTTTTAAGTCCCAGTCTCCACAGGTGACAAAAATTGACTTGACGTTTGGATCTAAGAGGCCTTCCTTCGCCATCCACTCATCGACCCTCTGAAAAGTACACAACAAGAACAGATGAGATTTTCCTTTTTTTTTTTTCCCTGAGCCTGAGAAGAGCCACAACAGTGAAACGCAGATAAGCTGCCTGTAATCAGAGCAGGAGAAAATTGTAATCTTATCCAGCCACGGCTCTGCTCTGGGCTCTTCACCTTGGCTCAGAACTATGGAGGCACTTGCAGGACAATTCCTGCAAGGAGAGCTCACAAGTACAAGTGTTGTGGGGGAGGAAGCCCCTCCACGCCCCTGTTCCTGGCAGCCTGCCCCAGATAGCATAAGGACAGATCCCAGTAAATCAGTCCAAATACCTTTGGTCCTCAAAGGCACAGCCTAGCATAGACATAGGCTGTCCTGGGCTTGAGAGCAGGCTGGATCCCCAAGCAGGGACTCCAATCCACAGGTTCACTCACTCACTTATTCATTTTTACCCTCCTATCAAATGTTTATTAATCAAACTTAAGAATTCAGTTATTCCCCAAATGAAAGTGAAGTTAATTCCACCATGAGTCTAGCAGAAGCAGCTCTTTGCTGGGCAGGAGCAAAGCTCATAACTGGTCCCAGACTTTATATTTCTCCTCTCTTGGTTGAGGATTAAAATTCAACAGATTCTTTTGAAGGCTAAGCTCAATTCCTAGTTAGGGAGAAAAATTGCTCCTAAACACACTTTAAGTCTATTTCTCCCTTCATCCCTTTGATAGGTTTGATTATTTGCACTGACACTGGAAGTACAAATACTAAAATCAGTATATAATGACAGAATTATCATAAAGAATTCATGAAGCATTGCCTATTTTTCAGACGATCCCGGGCATCGGGTAGGAGTGCAGGAGATCACACCACTGCTCCACTCACACAGGAGGACTGTTTTTAAAGGCTGTATGACATAGTAGTTAGAAACGCAGGACTGAAAGTCAGACGCATGTAGGTTCTAACCTTGGCTCTTCAATATCCTGGCTGTGTCACTGATGGGAAGTCATTTAAAAGTCATTTAACTCCTCTGAACTTCAGCTTCCTTCATCTATAAAATGAGGTAGGATGACTAACCTTAGACGTTGTTTTGAGAATTAAATGTAAGTGTAATAATGTATTTAAGTTCCTCCACAAAACAGACAGTAGGCTGAGAAGGGGAGAGAAGCAGATCATCATAATACAATATACTAGTTGCAGCAATAAAGAAGTGACCAGAATGCTACAGGACCAAAAGGAGGAAGTAGCCAGCTCTGCTATTTACAAGGAAAGGAGTCAGACAGGCTTCATAGAGAAGGTAATTGAATTAGGGGCTTGGTGGTATGCTTGACAGGATAGAACAGAGGAAAAGGGGATTATAGGCAGAGGCACAGGCCCAATCATTTTGTATTTGAGAAGCAATGATCTGTTTAATGTTTGTTTTCCTCACCGGACTACCTGCACCATGAAGGCAGGGACTCTTATCTGTCTTGTTCCGTGTCAGTCTCTAACCCAGCGCAGTGTCTTCTCAATAGGTATCCTCAGACTGACTGAAATATGGGCAGCGTATAATGTGACCACAGTCAACAGTGTATAGAAAGGAGGAACAGGAATTGAAGCTGGACACTAGATTAGGCCAGACTGTGAAGGGCCTTGTATGCCCAGCAGGTAATGGAGAGTCCATGGAAATCTTGATGTAAGATTACTTCTGGCAGGTGTAGGTTGGCTCCCCAGACATCTCAGAGATCCTGGAAGTCTGGCCTGTGTTAAAGCAGTCCCTGAGTAGGGACAAGGATCCTATGTAGTTCCACAGCTACAACAGTCCGAGCTCCCAGAACATCGGAGACATCAGAGATACCCCCCAGGGCCAAGTTATGGAGATCCTCTTCATAAACAGTACACCAGAGAATCCTCCTCAGCCCGAGGACCCCCCATAGCTAAATTCTAGACCCTCCACGGCAGAATGGTTTGTCTCCCCAGCCACTGTGGACTTTGCATAGACAAATAGAAACACACGCGCGTGTGCATCCCAATTTCCCCTAAGTCACATAAAGAAAATAAGGTAGGCCCTGGCTGGTGTGGCTCAGTTGGTGGGCATTGTCCTGCAAAGCAAAAGGTTGCCTGTTCAATTCTGGTCAGGGCATATGCCTGGGTTGTGGGTTTGGTCCCCAGCAGGGGCAAAAGGCAATTGATCAATGTTTCTCTGTCATATTAATGTTTCCCTCCATCTCTTTCTCCTTCCCTTCCCCTCTCTCTAAAAATAAGTAAATGAAATCTTTTTTTAAAAAAAGAAAAGAAGTTAGACTTCACACAAAAAGGGATAAGGTGAACCTGGAGCTCCCTAAGTCACCTAATGCTCTGGGTCACTGGCCTTAAGTCCCCAAGTAAGTGCCCCACATACAAGGGGGGCTGGCTCCCCAATGCCCCAACTCCTGCACAGTAGTCCTGGAAAAGACAGCAGGATAGGACAGAACTGTCAGGAGGCAATGCCCAGCAATACTAGGCTTTCACCATGAGAAGCACTTAATATTCACTAGGGTCCCTGGAAGCTTAGGGCCTAGGTCATTCACTCATGCAGGAGATATTTGGTGAGCATCTTCTACTATGAGCCTGTTAAGGAAGTGATACCACATTAGGAATCAGGCCTGTCCTTTTCCTTCCCTCTCTGCTTGAATGGATAAAGGGCTAGAGGAACCGTCAGGGTAACCTCAATCTTCCTCTCCAGCCCCAACCCTCTCAATCCTCCCCACCCCCTCAACAGCTGCTGAAGGTCTAGGGGAGCCCAGCCTGAGCCTACTTAGAACAAAAGAGTCAGGTGGATACACGGATGGCTGGATAGGTAGATTATGGATGGATAAACAGATGAGTAGAGGTGGGGGGATGAATGTGTGGATGGCTGTGTGAATGGATGGGTGAACAGGTTTTCAGGAGCCCAGAAAGTCTATCCATTGACCTTGTTTTGGGATGAGGGAATGATGACAATTCACTCCTGTATCCTGTCTCTCCCTGTTGGTTCTAATGCCTTCAGGTTGGACCAGGGAGGTGGAAGACAGTCAGGACAAATGAGCTAAAGGAAGAAGAAAATTTTTTTTAGAGAATAGATGAGTCAGGCAAACACCTAGCTGGCCACCTGCTCAGGATCTTGATTAGGACAAAAAGTTATCTCTTTAGCTCTGTAACCAACTCAGGGATAATAAGACAAAGTAGAGCCTGGTTAGGTCTCCTTATCTTGCCAGGCTGCCTATTCAGGTCAATGCCGGAAATCTTCCCTCTTCCCCACAAAGAGTGCTGAAGCAGCAGAAAGAGCTTGCTGGGTGAGACTGGAGTCCTCTGAGGACTCCTCTCCAGGGCTGACCTGGGATCAGTGGGAGGATGCCCCCTGAAGACCACATCTCCCCCTCAATTGGCACCACTGAGGGAAAAAACCTCATAACCCTACCATCCCAGGATTTGTGCTAGTTCAGAAGAAGCATCTTCATCCCAGGAGCCCAGAGACATTCCATGGACAAGCTGCCTGTCTTACAGCCTCCCTCAGGAGCCAGGCCCTATCTGGGCTTGCTAGCTGTGACACAGGGAAGGACAGGTCCTTTCTGTCTCCTTGATCCTGGTCCTTTGAGGAACAGTGCAAGCTGAGGAGGCCTCTCAGTCATAAGAGTGTATCTTCTGTCAAAAAAAAGAGGGTCCACGGGGTTGGGAGACATCTCAGAGCTCATCTATCTTCTCCCAGTTCATTGCAGGTACCTAACCCTGCCCCTCCCCAGAGCCTGACTGGTTACAGAGCCTGGGCTTGCACACTCTCAGGGACAGGAGGCAAACTGTCCCACTAGGTGAGCCTAAACCCGCCTCTGACCCTGGCTCCATCCTGAGGAGCCCCAGGAAATTCAGTCTGCATTCCTACAGGACAGGCTGACTTGACTAAATAAACAGCTCCCCCTCCCGCTCCCTGCCACCACCCTCTTTCCCCGAGGCTCACTACCTCCAGTGCAGATGTGCCCGCTCTTCCCTGTATACTCTGTTTCTCCTGTGCTTTGACAGGGGCTGAGCTTCGGGTGTATTGGTCTTAAAGACAAATAAAGCACCTAAGGAGAGCCACAGGCTTTTTCTCTTCTCCGCCCCCCTACAGAGGAGTGGGAGGGGGACCTCTCCTTCTCTGAAAACTCCCAGGCAAAGGGGGCTGGGAGACAAGCTGAGGCAGAGCACTGCCCTTCCTTGTTCCCTTAGGCTGGAGCACAAGAAGCTGCATCTTAACCTTTTCCAGCTCCCCGAGGAGAACATCCTAGAAGTGTGGTCTCTGCCAAGGGTTCTAAAGCCTTTAATTTGATTTCCCTCACACAGGCAATTGTTGTAATTATTCTGATTAGGAATCATTACCCAGTACAGCCTCTGCACCCGACAGGCACACTGCGTCCAGCGGCAAGCTGCAGTGGGGCAGGCGGGCCCAGCCGCACCTCCTGGAGGAGCTGACAGCAAACAAAAGCCATCAATAGGGACTTCTGGGTGAGTTAATGAAGTGCTCACATGCCACAAGAAGCCAACACTAAAGCTAAACAAAAACACCTCCAGTCCCCGGGGCCAGTCCAGCAGTGCCATAGCTCAGCTCCCCTACCTCCCAGCCTGCCCAGCGCAGGCTGCCCAGAACCAGCCAGCACGGGACGGGCTGGGGGCCCTCCGCCAGCCTCCTGGCAGCACTCGGACATCTTGTCAGTAACCCTGACAGGAACAGCTGGAGATGACAGATCAATGGTTCAATACTCTCAACAGCATGTCACTGATGTGACAGCAAATGTTATTCTAATCAAGCCATAATCATAGTCAAATTACACAGCTACATTCTCAGGAGGGGAGGGAGAGAAAGGCGGCAGGAAGGGGTCAGAGGTTAGGAATTAAAGGTCACTCAACCTACCTCGAGCACTTGCTGCAGGCTTGGCTGACCATCCACCATGGCTTGAATAATCCCGGTGAGCTGAAAGGAAAGATAAAGATCCAATGGATGGAAAACTCAAAGCCGGACTGAATTCTTTCTTTTCTGTTTTTCTCCTTCTACTGTAAAGAACTCTGACCTGTGCTGTTTTAGGCTGAGAGCCTTGGGAATAAAGTCCCAGGACACGCTCTAAACTTTCTAACAACATCCTGCCCTGAAATGGGGATACACACCTATGTGCTGATCACAGGGTATGTCTCATACCTGTTTCAGCTTTCATTTGCAGAAATAAAAATAAAAAAGGATTTTATGTGCCTTTTGTGTTCGACAGACTCCATAATGCCTCACAAATTAAAACCTAAAGTAAATTCACCTCCAAGCTTCACAGAGGCTCCGGTCGGACTTAGGGAATAATCACACAGGACAGGCACACTTAGTTTCCAGTCCACCCCTGCTCTGGGCCTCAATGCCCAGCATTTCCCCCTCTAACGCCAGTGAAGGACCAGGGGAGTTCCCACAGACATCCACCCTTCACCCTGCATACGTGGGCCCTCTATACCAACCAGCCAAGCAAGAAACAGGCACCTTCAACTGATGGGGAAACTCAGTCAGCAAAGCCGAGCGTACAAACCTGGTCTAGAGAATTGCTGACTCACAGGCCTATGTTTCACCCAGGTCAGGCTTAGGTTGAAACAAGCTTGTTGCTTTGATTTGTTTAGAAGTGAAAATATTGCTTAAGCACAGGCTAGAACAGACTGCCTCCAGGATCTGAGGCAGGAGGTCCAGTCCACAGAACTGGACTCAGCTGGAAATCACTATACCCACTGTGCCCATGGCTACTTCCAGAGAGAGTAGCATCGAAGGCTTGCTTGGAAACGTCTATTTTTTTTTTAAGTGTTGGAGGGACAGATTAAACTCCAATTAAACTATAATTACATTTAATGAATACCAAATACCCAACTCACAGAAACCGCTGGCACTAAGAGGGAAGGTTATTTTCTCATAGCGACTTACATGGAATGGTAATACACACCTTTTAGGGAAGAAATTTTCATTTTAAGAACGCTGAGTTCCTCTAGGTGGGTTTCTGTAGTTCATCAAGTCATTATTAGGTGGTATTTTAAGGAAGTGTAAGGACACAGCCACTCTATTTTATATTCCAGAAACTGTTTTTATATTAATCTGTATTTTAATTGGGTAACAGCTGCTGCCTACAGACTTCCCATGGTCTAAAAGGAAAATAAATTAGAAAGATTAACTACACTGTTGTTTCACAAGGCTTTAACCCACAGCATGCCCACCCGGCTGGCACCTTCACACCCTTTCCTTGCTTGGGAGACCAAAGAACTGCCCAGCAGAGGGAGGGCCTGAGCCAAAGAGAAGAAAAGATGGTCTACTGAGGGTTGGAGAGGGGATGGCGGGAGATGAGCCCCAGGTCAGCAGCTTTAATCTTGGAGTGCTAAGACTCCTTTTATTTAGCCAATGACTATTCTTGAAGAGCCTACAACGTGCTGGGCCCATTATAGGAATTAGGGAGCCAGCAGTGAAGAAAAACATGAAAACCTTCATTGAATCTGCATTCCTCTTGGCAGCCCTCTCCTGTGCCCAGCCCTGCTAGCACCCAGGGCCTGTGCACTTTCCAGAGCCACACACTGAGCAGGCAGTTGCCCTGTGTTTTATCTCAGGTATACAGTGGCCAGAGTTCAGAGCAGACTTGTACCAACTCCAGCTCCCATATCGACAGGACTGACTACTGCCCATGCACCCACCACTGCCCTTTCTGGGTCAGGTTGTCTCCTGCTTAGTTCCCCCAAAGCTGAGCCACACCCCCAAGCTTGGAGCTGGGGCTTTGGGTCTGGACTGTCCTGGAAAAGAGCGCTCACAGCAATTCTTCCTTCTTGGAAAGCTCCAGGGTCTACATGCCCGTCGCATATCTGGCCTGAGTTCCTGAGGCAAGGATAGGGCTACCCCTTCTCTGGGCTCCCACCAAGGGTCACTCAGATGAGCTGAATGCTGAAGGGCTTCCAGACACAAAGGAAACCAGTGGCACCCTTGCTGAGAACCCTCCCTCCTTGGAGATGGAACTTTGGTCAGCATCTGTGTACACTAGAAGCACCTGCCCTGGGTCCTAGGAAGATCACAGATTTGGGAGAGAAAATTGCTCTACCAAAAGGGAAAACCAGGGGTGCTGCTCTGTAGGAGCTCTCACTACAGACTAGGCCTGACTCTTCCCACACTAGGGGTGGGGGTGGGGGTTGGGGTTCCAGAATCCTGGGGCTTTCCCAAACTCCTCTCCAGCAATCTTAGAATCATCAGCCTGAGAGGAACCTAGTGAGTTCAGCTCCCTCTTTCTACACGGTTCCCATACGACTTGTGGTCCAGCAAAGCATGGCTTACAGCTGACTTCCTGAAGGACTTGAACTCAACCCCCAGAGACATGGGGGTTTGAACTCTTGGTTCGACTAGAGGCAGCTTTCCAGGGGGAGGCTATATTCCCCTGCATTAATTCTTCCAAGGATGGACTACTATCTTATCAGCTCTGCCAAGGCACTGGATGAAGATGGGGTGAAATTTAAAAAGTTGGTCCTTATACCTGATACTAACAACCAGTAAGACACCTACCTGTAAGACTTACACCACAAGCTGTGAGGGAGAGAGAAAATTTAATAAAATAAATACTGGAAAGTTCTACCTTAGGTATAACTTAAATCTTTCATGCTACAGTTTAAGCTCATTCCCACTTGGGTTAATATATATTGGTAAAAAGCTTTCATATCCTCACAATGAAAGGTACTAGAGCAAAGCCAAGTATTATTAAGCTGAGAACCAGGGCTCACAGGCTAAACAGAGCTCAGAGACCTTAACCACTTAAAGCAAGAGAGGTGAGAGGAAGAATTAATGTGTGCTCTGTGGCTCCTTTCACTGAGGGATTACAGATTAACTCCCGCTTCTCCAGACTCAGAAACCACAAGGCGAGGGGTTTTTGACCCTGACTGATAACATGGCTGGTTGCTGAGATCCCCTACCCACACAACGGCTTCATCCAGGAATGAGCTGGCTTCGTCATAAACACTAGCAACTACAGGAAGCAGCCCAGGACACTTGGTGCCAATAGCATGTCAGCATCCAGCACTTTCTCCTTTCACAGTTTATCTCCAACACAAATCGTATTCTGACACCAAGACAGTTTGTTGATTACATAAGCACTTGTCTCTGGTGTGCAATCTGATAATCAGACCCACTCTTTCTGCTCAGACAAAGAGACCAATAAATCTCACCCTTTATAAGTACAGGTGCAAGAGAAAACCCTTTACTGGCATTTAGCAAAATGGGTATTTTTCTAGTTTTTTCATGACAATGACGACAAAAAAGACTGCTCAAGGTCAGGGACTATGTGGCAGTCATGCTGCTGGAGACAGAGATCTGATGAGTAGGAGCAGATTCTAAAGGCAGTAAAGAAAGGGCTTGGGAAGGAATGAAACGCATCCCATCCTATCTCTGTCAGAACCATGTCTCCAGGCTGACTATCAACTGAAACTAAGAAAGGACTTCAAGAAGGCCAATAACATGTTCATTACACAGAACAGTAAGAGTATCTATATGCGGACTACAAACTTATGCAAAGCAGAATCCCTCTTTCTGCTGCCAGCATTGGACCTATCTCTCGCCCCTCCACACAAGCACGTGCTCATGTGTGTGCTCTATTTGTCATGTGTGCACGCACACACATGCCAGAGTTCTTAAGAACTGCTTGTGCACGAGAGAAAATTCTACCAGAGGAGCAGCTCAGGCACAACCAGGAGCTCTGAGGTTGTTCCCTCCAGCTGGAAAGGCAGCTACTATCAGGAAGGATGAGGTCTGAGAACAACAGCCCTCATCCTGTGTCCATGGCTCTCTCTGCACAAGAGTTCCACGAGGTATGGAGACAGGGCACTATTTACATGATAAAGTTTTCCAAAGACTTTACTTGCTCAAAAGAGCAAATCAGCAGTACAGTTACTCTAAGTGTGGCTGAATAATTCCTTGACAAGATTCATTCATTTAAGGAACACATATTAAGTGTTTGCTTAGTATGAGGTCCTAATGATGGGACACAGATGGGTCAGATCTAGTGTCTGCCCTCAAGGAACTCACAGTTCAGTGAGGAGACAGACACAGTAAATAATTACAGTATAATGTATATGGTCAGTGTTATTTTGAGGTGAGCACAACCCAGCCTTCCCAGGCTTCCCAGAGAAGGTGACCGTGAGCAGAGTCCTAGGGGAGAAGTAGGGGGTGGGGGAGGAGAGCGGTAGCATCACCCAGGCAAAGGACTATCATGTGCCAAGGTCGTCTGTAAGAAGGCAACCTTTAGACGAGGGAAGTGAGGGGAAGAGGAAGCAGGGAGAGATGAAGTTGGACAAAAAGGCAGGGACCGAGTCAGGGAGAGTTTTGAGCGCTGGAAGCCTGAGACAAAATGTAGACTGAGTGCCTGCAGCACAGCCACACCTTCACTTTCATAACAGGGATTTCCCAGCACTACCAAGCCTACTACCATCCAAATTATGCGTGTATGCCCTTGAGTGAAATTTTCTAGAAAAAAGCAACATGGCTTTCATCATAGTCCCACAATCCTTCTCCCCTTCCCCCCAAAAAGCAGCAGCAGCCCAACTCTAAAATATATCCCTTTTCCCAATGCTATGGGGCATCCACTCCTGTCCAGGCCAAGCTCCAGCAGCATTCTGTTCCATCCCTAGCAGGTAGCAACCTTGACAAATCTGGGCCTCCTTGTCTATGCCAAGCAGCCTAGCTAGAGCTGAGTCCCCCAAGGGGAACTTACACACAGAGAGGAGGAAGAGGACAGAGGACACTACACTTTCAGGCCAGTGGAGGGCTCAGGTACCTGGCTGGTTTAAGGAAAGTGTTCCCTTCCCTTCCCATCAGGAAGGGGATTTTCATCATCATTAAAATGTTAATTTTTCAAAGGGGGCAAAAAGGACAGATTAGCTCCCCCTGGTGGTATAGGTAATTCCCAGGGAAAGAGGGAAAAAACAGCAGACCCCAAAGAAAGCAAGAGTCCCAATATCGTTAGCTGGAACAATGAAAGACTTAAGAGACTAGACACCTTAGCAGACGGATGCCTGCAACAAAAGGCCCACCTGAGTCAGGCAGCAAACACTGGCATCATGCCTAGAAGTGACCCTCAGGCCTCATATCAGGGCATCATATCTGGGCTAAGTCAGCCACAGAGGTCACTGAGCCCTCTCAGCAGCGGCAGGAGGGCCCTTCCCCAGCCTCCTCCACACCAAGATTGTTTGGGGATTACTCAAGAACTTCTTTCCTCCCGTTTCATTCGTATATTTAAAAAAAAAAAAAAAAAAAAAAAAAAAGTAGGTCTGTAAATGAAGGCACAAAGTCTCTAACAAACCCCACAGTCCCAAATTCTGAAAGAATTCAAGAAACACTCATGTTTTCCCATCACCTCTGTTACTACATATTCTTGACCATTCTTGGGATTTCATCATAGCCTGCAGCCACCACAGAGAGTATAACATAACACATCACAGGGAAAAGCAGCCACAGAAGGCTCTCCTTACAGCCATGAGAGTCAGAACTCTGAAGGGGCTTCTCTCTGCCAATGGCTCATTTGCACCTCCGGCAAACAGCAAGGTCTCAGTCCCAGTTTCAGTCTGTAAAATGGGGCCAGTACTAACCTGCTTACAAGGTGGCTGAGTGTAGTACCAGCCTAAGACAAGGATAAGGACATTTCAGCCTTGGCCAGGCTATGTACATACCCCACTTGGATTGCCCTTCTCTTTCCTCGATGATACAGTATGCTTCCCACAAACTCAGCCAATGTTCCACACTGGGCTACTTTCCTCAAGGACAGAGAAACATCGCCAGAAAGCTAAGAAAGCTGAACGTCTCCTTCTGAGAAGCTACAGGCTTCACCTGTTGCCAAGGGGCCCTAAGGGAAATGAAACTGAAAAAGAGCCTGAGTCCCAGAGGCACCATCCTGCTCCTAGATTCCAAGCGCCCAGTCATCGGGAAGGGTAGGGACTGCAAGGAAGGGAAAATGTTGGGGAGCTGAGACAGATTGTGTCACTGCTTTTCCTGGGTCTCCAATGACCAGAATGACCGAAATAGAGCGGCAGACTTTGTAGAGAGCCAACTGCGGGGTCCAATGTATACCCACTTTAACTGCTGATAGGAATTCACTTTCACTAATCGGCCTGTACACCAATGATCCAAAAGCTCCTGCCCCAATAGCCCTTGCCGCCCAGTTCCAGGACCCTTACCTCTGTGCAGAAGGGAGTAAGCTGTGGATGGACTACAGGCTGGACATACATGTGAAAGGTAGACTCAATCTCCATGGTCCGGCCATTTAGCTTCAGGATGGGGAACTCGATGATTTCCTGGAATGGCAAAGACAAAGAAGAGAAAAAAATAAGGTTTTTTTTTTTGTTTAAATTGAGTATTTCAAATAATAACTCAGAGAGTCAAGAATGAGGGAGTGTTTTGAACTCATTACCTCCTGGCAGGCCAAATCCAAGACTGAGTGAGATGGTGCTAACTCAGTTACAGTCCCAACCCTCCCACTGTGAATAGTCTCACAGGTTCCAGGGACTAGGCACATATCCCACCCTACTGTCTGGAAAGGGGAAACAAGACAGTAGTACAATCTGCTCCAGTTTCCTCAAGTGGTTTCCTCTAGCAGAGGCTTGCTCACTCGAGTCCCTAAAAGTAGGCCCCTCCTTCCTCTAGCCCAGGTCCGAGCCCTGGAAGGGGCCTGGATCTCCAGCCATACAGACAACCAGCCATCAGACCAAAACACAGCTTCCCATATATGAAGTTTAAACAGAGCCGGTGAGTTTCTTCATTAGTTTCCCCCACCAAAAAAAAAAAAAAAAAAAAAAAGATACATAGTAAATAAAGCCAAAGGGGATATTAAAGAAGAGAAAACTGATTAAGAGTAATAGGAGCTAGTGCCTCCCACCTTTCTTTCAGGCAGTAGGCCCTCCCCACTCCCACTGGCTCCCCCACCCCAAATCGCTTAACCAGTCCTTCCCAGTCCACTGGAACGTAATGGAAGAGAAGGAGGAGGAGTGACAATTTGTTTGGTGTCTCTAAGATTAATTTGTCTCCGTTATTTAATAGAGATGCACAGCACCAAGGTCCTGGTGTGCAAACAGGCTTGCAGAAGGCTGGCTGTGCAGCAAGCCTCATACATCGCTCCTGGGAAGGGAGGAACGCTCCAGAGGGGGGAGAGGGCAGGAGAGAGCACACAGGCACCAGAGAGAAGAGGGAAAACGAGCAGAGAGAATAAAAAAAATTATTGCTTTTTAATATTCAAAAACAGTTTGCAAAATTTAATCAAAGCAGAGGAAAAGCTAACATTTTTACTACTTTGACATTTTTATTAGCGCTTTCATAAATTTTTAAAACATGAATGGAATTAGTTTACAACACACACACACAAAAAACTGCCTGAAAACATCTGGAAGAGACAAATAGGAAATAATAAAAAAAATAAATAAAAGCAAAATCCTCCGAGTAAAATTAGCATGTGGAAAAGGCTTCCAATGTGGAGACAGAGAAAGAGAGAGAGAGAGAGAGAGAGAGAGAGAGAGAGAGAGAAAGGGGGGCTCTGCCCAATCAGCAGTCCCAGCAGTCAGTTCCAGTCACATCCCTATCCCAGGTCCCCCATTCTGGAGAGGACCTTTCTAGTATCACTAAAATCAAAGCAAATTGGTTGTCTCCAGGGACAGCTGGGAGAGGCACCAGTGAAGCTGTTCCACACCTGACTACGTTCAAGAAACGGGCAAGTGGAAAGTCAAGAGAAATGGCCAATTGCCTGTTATCCCAGGGCAGCTAGGTATCCTTTCTCCTAAACATACCCACCACTATCAACCTTGTTTTTTAAGGCATCTATTTTTATCCAATTCATTACAGCAGGACTGAAGACCAAATCAAGGCAATCAGATTTCATGATGGAGAAACTCAAAGGTTCTGGTTGCATGGTCTGCCTGGGGTGATCCCGAAAGATGTGGAAGCTGAGTGGAGCCCCCCAAAATAGGACAGGCACAGAGGCTGCACTGCTGAAGCCAAGGGGGAGCACAGAGGAGGCCCAGGCTGCTGCTTAGATTGGGTGATGCTTCTCCTCTCACTGTGTTCCCCAATTCCCTGGGCCTCTTACTGGCCACACACAATACAAAACTGGCCAAGTTTTGTTGTATTGTGCTGAAAACAAAATTAAGGTACACACACACAAAATACATATTGGTGCCCCTGAAAAATCAGATCCCCAAGATCTCCAAGAGCTAATTCTAATGTGGGGCTCATCTGAGTCAGGCTCATCTGACTCCCTAATTTTCAGCTATATCCTTCATCTCCCACTGAGCAGGAAAAATACTTCCCAACAGAAAGAGCTCCATAGCCTGGTGAGTTTGGCTGCCCTGGTGTCTCAGGAAACAAATACAGCCAGCCCCTCACTAACAACGTTAGCTGGGCCCACAATGAAATTTAACCTGTGACACAACTGTACTTTTCATTTAAACTTTCATTTCGAGAGAAGCAGTGTTTGGAGACCTGCAGTTTGTCCTGCTAATAAAGACAAGTGTTGGGACCTTTAAGGATGCCATTCATCTCTGGCTTTTATTAAATTCAATTTTCTTAAGCCCATGATACATTATGAAATTAGGAGTTGACATTCCTCTGGAAACAAAAATATCTATCAAACACAAATAGAAAAAAACCCCTCTATTACCAAGAATTTATGACTTAAAGTTGATCTCTTTCCACTTTTTTACAAGCACATGGTTTGTTTTAGATATCTGAAATGTTATTATGGATCTAGAATTTCATTAGTATTTATTATAAAATAGTAAGCGCTTCAGCTCCTGCTCTGACCAGCACCGAGTCAGCATCCCCAGTAGGTTCTCTGAAAACTTGGCCTGTGGGTTTCCCCACTGCAGCTTCAAACTTTCCTGCTGCTGGCTTCTTCACTCCTGGGAAAATAGAGCCGATCTAAGGGCTCCTATTCATTACCACTCTCCCAGAGAGGAGGAACAAGAGGGCCTCAGCTCCATGAAAAATGAGGGGTAACTCAGAGAGCTTACCCCAAAGTTGTAAGTTGGTCACATTAATTTCAAGAGCTTATGAAGATGTGGTTAAGTGCCGGCTTCTAGGAGCAATTGCTTTGATAATGAAACTTATCCCTGCTCCTTCTCCTTCTCCCGCCTTCAATTTCATCATTTCCTTAGAATGATGAAAGACATTGTTGTTTTGTTTTTTGTTTTTTTTAGTAGTTGAGTGTCTGCTTGTATACCATGAGGCAAAGAACCAGTTTGTATTTATCAGCCGTCTTTTCTTCCTCTATTAATATTTTCACAATTCCTTACATATGTATGTCATTTGCATGCAGTTAAACCACCTGTCCATCTACTGTGTGCAGGATAGCGTACAGGTGTTGGAGTGGGATTTAGAGTTAAGATGTAGTTTCGCTGTTGGGGATGTCTACAGAATGGTGAACACAAGAGATATGCAAACAAATAATGAACACTGCACTATGATAAATATCTTAATGGAGGAACACCCCAAGTGTTAGGCTTTTCAGTTTATAGTGTGCTCTGAAATATATTTTCTTATTTTACCCTTATTAATCCTGAAAGATAGGCCATGTCATCACAATCACCATCATCATGAGGTCATAGACAAATACTATTTACTAGGCAGGGGCTGCTGGGTGTGGACACAGATAAAGACAATGAGATGTGGCTCCTCTCTGTGAGGTGCTCAGAGTCTGGGCAAGGGGTAGAGAGAGGCTGACCCCAACATCCTTGGAGACATGCGGAAAATGGAATCATTTTATTCCTTCCGTCTATTGTTTACTATGTGTCAGACACTGCTAAATGCAATGATCTCACTGAATCCTCCTAACAACTCATGAGGTGGGAATCATTACTATCATCCCTATTTTACAAATACACTAAGGCCCATAAAGAAGTTGTCATTTGCACAAGGTTATACTGCTAGTAAGGAACAGAGCTGGAGCTCCAAATGGGGAAATTGAGACTTAAAGAAAGTAGGACTAGCAGCTTTCAAAATCTGAAGGGCCAAGAAAAATCTGATTTCTTTCAGCCTGAAAAGCTGTCTTTGGGGAGCTCAATCTATCTCCTAGGAAGAGCAACTGTTCTCAAGTTACCAGAGCAATAAATGGGGACCGTGAAGGCAGAAAGTCCTGGAGGATTGCTACTGAACAGCCTCCACTATGTGCTCCAAGCTCAGGGAGGGCAGGAACCAGGAGCCTTCCATTTGCACCTCCAGCACCCAGTTCCATTCCAGCATGCAGACACACTTCACTCTCTCAACTTTTGGTGAGTAAACAAGCAAAAGCAATGATAAATGGCAAGACAGAAGCCAAGCACATGGCTCTGACAGATAACACTCTGCTTTGACAGAGTCCACAGGACCAGAGAGGTGAAATGACTACCTATGGTGACAAAGATGGTAAGCTGGAATTCAGACCCAGACATAGAATGCTCCAAAGCACTTTCTACCAGATCCCCTGCCTCTCATCTTTAAACGGTTTCTCCTCCTCCCTCAACTGCTAAAAACCACCAACATTCCAGTTTTCTGTTTGCACAGACCAATGGTTTCCTGGAACATAGGACATTTAGGGCTAAAATTGGGAGGGTTGGTCACCCTACACCATTCACAAGTTGCATACACCACTAGGCTGTCCAAGAGTAGGGTGTTATAAACCCAAAAAACTGACGGTAGACAGAAATTGGCCACAACTTGATAACTAAGGACAAAGCCTTAGAATTCGGGTTTTTCAAAGTATCTATGTTTCTAAACTGATCGCACCTGCTGTCTCCCTCAATAAAATGCCTGCTGCAAATCTTTTTTCATTTTTTTAAAGGGAGGAAAGACAAAGAGATAAAAAGGAAGCACCAAGTAAAAATTCTTTTAATATTCTTTTAATTTTAAGTGAGCAGAGGTTTAGGTTGGAGCAAAGGTTCTCAACATAACAGCTTTCTAAATGCTCAACTAGGAACCCCAGAGATTTTCTTGAAAAACTAAGGACAAAACTGCAGCAGCATTTCAAATGAAATTTCACACTCACAATCAGTAAGTTACAAGAAACAAATGTATAGGTTGCTTACAGGGTATTCAAACTCCCTTCAGCTAAAGTATTTGCAGTGATAAGATTGTATTTGACGACACAACAAAAGGATTTTAAGCAGGAGGGTCTTAGGTTAGACTTGGAATTTCTTGACAGTGGGACAGAGGGTTTAATAGTGTAGCATTCTTACAGACCTTTTTTCCAAAGTACAGGTTCCCCTTTGTCTGAGCTGATGGTTCTATGGTCCAGTCTGAAATAAGCGAATGAGCAGATCATTTTTCAGGGCTT